GGTCACATGGCAAATATGGCTACCAGGCCTTAAGGACCTGTTTGGTGGGCTTTGAGGGGTGGGCTTGGGGAGAGAGATGCGGGGGGAGTTGAGATGGACCTTCCACCAGAACATTCCAGAGTCTTTGGGTATGTGGGTGCCAGGGGCTGAGGTGGAGCCTCCACCAGAACATTCCAGAGTCTTTGGGTATGTGGGTGCCAGGGGCTGAGGTGGAGCCTCCACCAGAACAGCGTCTTCACTCATTCTGTTAGGAAACAATGTTTAGAAACAAAGAGACAACATTGTGTGTTTGTTGCTGCTGGGGTGCTGTTAATTCTAGGACCTGTCAGCAAACAGAGGGAAAGAATATAGATATATAGATATATACAATTTAGTATATATATATATATATTAAGTTATAGATATATGAAAGCCAGTGAGTCTGCTCAATAAAGGCACTTGCTGCCCAGCCTGATGACCTGAGTTATATCCCAGGCCCCAGGTTGAGAGAAAGAACCAAGTCCTGAAGATTATCCTCTGAGTCATCACACACACAATAATAATAATAATAAGTAAAATAAACATTTTAATTATAGATATATAGGAGCTGGAGAGATGGCTCAGCATGTAAGAGCACTGGCTGTTCTTCCAGAGGACCTGAGTTCAATTCCCAGCAACCACATGGTGGCTCACAGCCATCTGTAATGAGATCTGGTGCCCTCTTCTGGCCTGCAGGCATACATGCAGATAGAACACTATACACACAATAAATAAATAAATCTTTTTTTAAATTATAAATAAGTATATTCACTCTGTGTATTATTACCAAAATTTTGACCAACAGTAAGCCACATGTAGTAGTGTTCTCATGAGCTTATATTGGACTGGAAATTTCTTTTTGCCTGGTGACACTGTGGTTGTCATGAAGTTGCCAGTACCAGGTACTTGGATCCATAAATCCATCACCTAGTTTACACACACACACACACACACACACACACACACACACACACACACCTCTGTTTAGAATATCTCCTCTCCTGATATGCTCTTCAGGGGTGTAGCCATTGGTGAGGTGCACATGCTCCTGTGAGCAACCCTAACATCACAGGGACACACTCAGAGCTAGGGAGTGAGGGATGGGGGGATGGGGGGTGTATGGGAGTGGGGGAAGGTGGGGGAGGTGCAGGAGGGGGGATGAAAGTAGAGCCATGGCTCCCTGGGAACAGGGAGAGAATAGTGAGAGCAGGGAGGGGTCAAGATCGGATAAGCAAGGGTTGACTGTGGTGGCAATGCATCATGGACATATGTGAAAACGTCAAAATGATATCCATTATGCTGTCTAATCATAGACGCTAAAAGACTTTTAAAATTCTTGTTATTTGCAATTCACACATGTACACTGCATATTGGCTACTCTCACCTCCAGTGTCCACCTTCCCTCCACCACACAAATCTCTCTCACGAGTTCATGACTATTTTGTTTTGTTTTGTGACTCACCAACGCTGCCGAGGGCCATCTGTGTGACTGTGAATTTGGAGTTAGCTGCTGGAGCCTCATGGGCTCAGCAGAGGGTCCACAACTAAAGACAGTGAGACAGTGACCCCCTCATCTATGAAAATGTCATAATGAAATACATTATTGTGTATAATTAACATATACTAATAAAAACATTTTTAAGGATTTTTTTATTTTACGTGTATGAGTGTTTGCCTCAATGTACATCTGTGTACCATATACATTCCTGGTGTCCTTGGAGATCAGATCTCCTGGAACTGAAGTGACTGGTGATTGGTTGTGAGCCTACAGCAAACAGCTTGTTAAGCTTTCTTGGTAGAGGGCACTAAAAAACAAACAAACAAACAAACAAACAAACCACTGTATGAGGAACGAGCGCTCCTGTGTAGTCAGAAGTTTTCCTGTGTCCTACCGGGCCTGAGGTCGGGACAAATCTCTCCCACTCTCGTCCCAAAGCTGCTTAGTCCCAAGTGAACACACAGAGGCTCATATTATTTACAAACTAGATGGCCTAAGGCTCAAGCTTCTCGACAGCTAGCTCTTATAACTTCACCCATTTCTATTTACCTGTAAGTTGCCACGTGACTTCATGGCTTACTGGTACTTTCACATCTTGCTTCTCCTGGCGGTGGATTGCAGCATCTCTCCCGCCTCTCCTGCCTCTCCTTTCCTCTTCCTCTCTCTCCAATTGGAATGTACCGCCTAACCTTATTCTGCCTCACCATTGGTCAAACAGCTTTATTTATCAACCAGTCAGAGCAACACCTATTCACAGCGTACAGAAAGACATCCCACAGTGCTCCTGCTTGAGGCCTCATCTCCAGCTAACAGACTTGATATGGAATGGCAACAAAATCGTTTCTACAATGTAGTCTTCATCCTCTGGTCAGGGCTCAACTGGCTCTGAGCTCTGAGGCTCCGGTCTCCTCAGCTCCCTGTGGTCCCCACACATCTCCCTCATCACTGTGTCTCTCTGTGAAGCTGGCGTTCATGTACTCCCTGCAATCCTCTTGAAGTGCAGTCCAAGCCAAAGGTTAACTCAGAGCAAACAAATCTTGGGCAGGCGTCCACGCTGCGCCATCTGCGTGTGTATGTGCAGATTCCTTGACAGTGTGAAATACAAATGTGCCCGTATGAAATTGAAGACAAGAGCCCATATCTGTCGCTCCTGTCTCCTGTCACAATTAGGCCACAAACTGGATGATTTAAGACAATAAGAATTTAATCTCATGGTTCTGGAAGCCCGAAGTTCAAGATCAAGCGGTCAGCAATCCTTCCGTCCCTCCAGAGGCCCTAGGAAGAAACTTGACTTGCCTCCTCAGGTTCCAGACATCCCTTTGCTTGTGACGGCCTAGCTCTAGTCTCTGCTTCCGTCTCTAAATGGCCTTCCTATGCATCTGTGCCACAGCTCCCTCTGCCTCCCCTCTGTAAAGACGCCTGCCGTTGGACTTTTGACCTAACGTCAGAATCATCTTGTAATACAATTTTGCTTAATGTGTTTTGACCTGGCTTTGACTAGCTGAGGGCCTGCCCAGTGTTCCTTCTTCAACAGCTGGTCATGTCTACGCTCCAACCGTTCTTCATCCATCATCTCGTGAACCATTGTCTATCTGCCCCAACAGCCTCAAGCCCCAGTGCAAGACAATTAAGGGCAGATGAGGGATAGCCCTGATGCTCCAGAACCCTCAAATTTA